CCAGCTGACAAAGTCGCGATAAAATCACTTGCCGAAGATGAGAAAAAACCAAGTGAAGAAGCCAAAAAAGAAAATGAAGTGACAACAGTTACACCAGTCGAAAGTGCACCTGAAGAACCAGCTGACAAAGTCGCAGTAAAATCACTTGCCGAAGATGAGAAAAAACCAAGTGAAGAAGCTAAAATGGAAACTGAAATGACAACAGGAACACCAGTCGAAAGTGCACCTGAAAAAACAACGACAGAGAAACCACTCGAAAAGAATGAATCTGGTGAGAAAAATGAAGGGCGTAACAATGCATCAACTGTAGAGGCTGAAGGAGAGGAGAAACCTGAGGAAAGTTCCTCACCACAAACACGAAAAGTAAAGATACCTGGTGTTGTGCCAATTCCAGGGGATCGTCCTAAAAGTAGATATGCTGATATCCGAATTGTTAAACTCGAATCAGAACTTGCAGAGGATGGCAAATATAGATACAAGTAAGAACAATTTCGATTTAATATGATGATCATAAATCAAAGTCATTTTCAATAAAAATGAATGTGTTGTTTATAATTATTTCAGCTACGAATCAGAAGACGGTACAGTTGTCGAGCAACAAGGTGAATTGAAAAAAATGTCCATAAAAAATGATGATGGCGAAGAAGAAGAAACACAAATGGGCGAAAGTGTGAAAGGATCATACTCATACAAAGACGATGAGGGAAAAACCTATTCTATTACCTACACGGCCGATGAAAATGGCTATAGACCTGTATGTATATAGACAAAATAGAGAATATTTCATGTTTTTATCGAACGTTTAAATGAATTGTTTAAATAATATAGGTTGGAGACCACATCCCAACAATACCGCCAGCTATTGCTCGTGCTTTGGCTTGGTCAGCGACAGCAAAACCTTGGTAATATATTTGCGAAATCTTTGCAAAACATTTTTTTTACACAGCATCCAGTTTAAATTTTTGATAAAACACATCACAGACTGATTAACACCCATTAAAATATCTTCTATATTCTATATTTCCAACTATCGAAAATGTTCGCGAACAATCTCAAGACAATGTGTTCGTTTTGGCCAATTTTATTGGGACTATGTTGTTTTTTATCAAAAGAAAATTTGCGGATCTGATTTATTTGGTCGATTAGCTTTTAAAATGAAGTTTTTTTTTTATTTAATGAAACATTGAAATGTCAATTAATAAACAATTCGATTTTCATTTTTTTTTCTCAAAAAGGGTTGACCCATGGCTTGTGAAACAAAAAAAACTAAGAGAAGCTCGTGCTAAGAAATTGGAAGAACAAATGAAAACCACTCAAAAACCTGAAGAAAAAGATGTAGAATAAAGACGTTAACTTAGAGATCGAAAGTGAAAGATGTTTGTCCTGAAATTGGAAGGAAACCACACAAAAATCTGTGGAGAAAGACGAAGAAGCACCAAAAGCCATATAAGAATAAGCCTCCGAAAATTTCATTTAAAATTCATACAAAAAAAAGTGTCGTAGAAGTTAAAATAATTTATAAAAACGAACGAAAATATCACAAAAAAATGGAAAAACTAAAAACAAATGCGTTTTTTTCGCCGTTGAACTTGGTTGCACCAAATAATAAAATGTCAATTCAAAGCTATCGCAAGAGCAGCATAATTTAATTATCAATTAACACACTATCAATTCAATTAACATTTCGATTCGGTATTCAATCAAATTATCGATGGATGGCCGTCGAATCAAATTAAATTTTAATTAATAGTTGCGACGTGTAAATTGCAATGATAAAATTTAGCCAAAAATGAATTAAAAAAACAACAAAAAAAGCAAATATCGCATCAATACAAAATTGGATACAATAAATGATTATTGAAATGTTCAAGCATATTCACATTCATCAAATATGCGACATAGAGGTGCGAACATCATTAAAAATAGCTTATAAAAGTTACATATAAAAATTAAGCGGTGGTTTTACATTGACATTGGACTCAAAAACATAATGATTAAATATTATTTTGGTTTCGCACAATTTGGTTGGCTTTGTAGCTCGTTGCTTGTTAGCGCTAAATCCGAAACGTTGTCTGCTATGCAGTATATCTGTGCACACTCTTTGTGTGCTATTTTTTTCATTGTAGTTTTTTTCATGCTTTGACCGACTGACTTCCCTACATGCGGAATAAAGACTTGATCTATCGTCGAAAGATAAACAATAATTATGCTTAAGTGACGAATTTCCGACACCGCCTTCTCCTTCTAGTCGCGCCGCCGTCGATAAACTAATTAAACATTTTAAATGTACATTTTTTAGACGGCCGTTTTTTGCTCTTGAAAAACAATGAGTTCTTATTAGTCTTGGGAAGATGACGATGTATTTTTCAACTAATGACACAACACAAAAGACGAAACACATTTTCCAACCGAAAAAACGAAATTACATACTGGCCGAACACAGAAATAAAAGCAGCAACAACAAAGAAAAACATGAAAAAATTTGCCATCATTTTAGCACCAATTTCAAAACAGAGACATTGCATTGAAATTTTTGAGTTGGTGCTTGTCATTAAGAAAAAACGTCGTTTTATTTGAAATTTGCGTTTAATTTATTCAAATAGGCGAAACAATACTCGAATGTTCTTTGTTTATCCTTTTGAAATTATTTTAAAGCAAATTGGTGTCGATACCAATTTAGATTTGAAGATGGAAATCGCAACAAAATTTCTCAGACCAATACCGCATTGGTTGTATTTTTTGGTTAAAACTTCCTGGTGTTTGCAACTCTTGATGATGTTATCATCATCCTTTTACACCTTTTTCAATTTATTTGGTGAGCAATTTTATTGACACGGTAGTCAATAGAACGTTATTACCTGATTTAAGATGTAATGCGTATACACACCTATACCATATTATGTACGGCTAGCAAAATTTTACAGTTCAAATTCAAGCCAAACATAAAACCAATGATAAAACAGAAAAATCGACATGTGTATGCTGTGCTTGCATGTGAGTGATTTTTGTTCGTTAATTTGATGAGTTACAGAAGCCGCAAACCACCGCAATCACATTATGGATCGTTGAGTTTTGCTTCAAATATTGCACGATCTTTGTTCTCCCAATTGGTCGTGTATATACATTACGGATTTAACGAAACGAAAAAGTAAAAAAATCATTGTACAAAATAGTTATAATGGCGTATTAGCGGCCGCATAAAAGTGTCATTGACTTTGCATACCTTTGATTTAATTTAAGCAGTACGGTGTAACTGTTTTCACATCATACGGCGTATCAACGATGAGGTAGCACAAGTACGCCGTCATGATTGGAACAAGAAATTCAATCAAAAATATGAGTTTTTTTTTTTACTTGTTATACTTTATTTTGAACTCAACTCAACCAACGTACCTACGACATTTCTTTATGCCAAAGAAATGTTTCTTTTTATTCCCAGATCAAGTAAGTTTGATTTCTCAAAGTTTTGTGTATGTTTTTTACAGTAAACATGAGAGCTATTATCTATTTCGTTGTATATAAGAATTTATTGGGATGACTAAAAGAGAGAGAAAGAAAGAAAGAGAGTAACAAACAGAAGGGGATAAAGAAAAAAAAGTTCTTCAAAATCTTTCTTTGGCCGAAATTGTGGGTTGTGCAATTCGTTAATTTACCACACAGTTTGAATCAATTCAGTTTGTGACTTCAAGGGTTTTCTCTCTATCTTCAGCATTATGTTAAAGCGGTGTTCTATGGATAGTTGAACACAATTATTAAGCTCAATTCAACGAGCGAAACACTAATCTTTTTTTCTCTCAACGACATTATGATTTGAATTATGGTTCTTGTGTAAGATTTCGTCTAAATTTCGATTTTATTTTCAGTTTTTTTTTTTTCGTTTAACTTTTAGCATACCATTTCTTTTTTAGAATAATCGAAGAAGATTTTCATCTGCACTTAATCGTTCAGATCATTTTAATCATCATAGTTTAAAACGCCGGAAATGTGATGCTCACTTCGAAAACTATTTG